GGGCCGCACCCCCCCCCCCGTGACGCCGGGACAACCCAGTCACGTTCACAGCCTGCCAGGCACTCAACGTGCAGCTAAATGGGGTAGGTCCCAGCCGTCAGCTCGAGCCCCCGATGTAGGGCTGGGGAAGGGACCTTGAAGGGTGACCTACTTCACTCCCCTGGTGCCGGCAGCGGAGCTGGCAGATGTTCCCAAAAAAACCGCCGGCGAAGGAGCTGCCGCCACGTTGCGCCGCCCCCGAAGTCCCTCCTAATACTTAACCTCAATCTCCTCTGCAAATTAACTTCTCTCTGTCATCTTGCATCCCCCGGGAGGGGCAGGTGGGGGGACGCAGAGGACAATCGAGCCCCATCCTCCTGGTGACAGCCTTTCAGCTTTGCGAAGATGCAACACGTCTCCCTCTTTTCTAGGCTAAGCAGAGCCTGCCCCTTGCCCTGCAGGTCCTGCTTTCCATCCTCTTCTCTCTCGACTTGCCTTCATCGTGTTTCCACCCTTGCGAAAAGGGAGCGGACGGAAAACGGCCCGGAGAGGCGAAATCGCGATGACCCACGGGTATCAGCGCAAACATCATCTTTGCAAGAGGCTGCAACCAAGATACCCGCATCCAACGCTACACCACCAAAAAAGACAGATATATAAATATCTGTACACGTATCAGAAACACGTGTGCCTGTAGCATTTCCACTTTTAGGACACACGGTGGCAACATAACCCAGGGAGATGGTTGGAGCTTGCTCCACACTTAGAACCACAGGCAGTGGCCTGAAGATCTCTGCTTTCTCCCATGAGAAGTCTCAATCAAGGAAATATCTCGAGGCTGGATGGAAACCGGAGAGGAGGAGACTCTCTAAAATAATTCCGTCAAACGCAATCGACCGTATTTTAATCAAAGCACCCATCCATGGGGGAAACGCAGAAAGCAACTATGTTTTACAGAATATAAGCAACTCCTGCTGTTTTCAAGAGATTGCTGAGAGCAGAGGTTGAGCATGGATGTTGTGCAAGCTTTTGGCTCCACTCTGTTGAGAATGGTGGAATATACCATGTCTGATAGAACATAATGCTGTAAGACTAGGAGATGGTGAAGAGGGGGGAAAAAAAATCCTTTCAGGGAGATGGTTTTAATGCTGCAAGTTTCTCGGCTGGCATCTGCATATTCATTCTTCAGCAGCAGATGTCGAACGTTCTCCCCAAGAAGAACAGGCAGAGCTGGAAGATGCAAATCGGGAAACCAGACGACAGCAGCGGGAGGGTGTTGGGGTGGTGCTTCTGGTTTAGGGGTTCATTTAAGAAGTCACCTTATGCACATTCTTCACCTCCCATCCCCAGCAGTGAAATCTGGCCGAGCGGCCGGGAGGGCTTTGCCGGGGCCGACGACTGACAAACTCATTCCTGTCTCCTTTCACACGTGTGCAGTGAGGGGAAAGAGCACCCGGAGGCAGCTCGTGGCAGAGGCAACCAGGAGGTGACACCCCAAAATCAGGGCACTGAGCTTGTTTTTGTTGCAGCCTCGTTGGGGAGGGGCTGCCAAAACATGACTTCAGCTGAATAAGCAACGCTCTGTTTTTTCCCCTGAAGCTGAAAATCCGCATGGGAGGAAGTTCTCGTCTCCCGAGCCTTTTGATGCAGCTAAAAAAGCCACCCCCTGGCATCTGCTGTGTTTTCATGTTACCGAGCCAAGTCAGCAGCAAGCCCAAGAAAAGGAGCTTCCAAGATCTCAGTGTCTCAACGGATTTCTCCACGTTGCATTGGATGATGTTACCAGGCTCAGGACACCTCGGTGCCCAAAGTTTTACTGTCAAAAGTCAGCTGGGCAGGTTGGTGCAAGCACCGTGAGTTGGTCCTCAACAACTTCATAGGGAATGTTTCCTGCCTTTCCATGAGAAGCAAAGCCCCCCCCAGATGCCATTGCATGGGGAGACACCCCCCCAACAGCTCATCACACACATTCATGGAGACCATGCTCACATGAGTAGGGTCAGGACGTGGCTCGCTGCCTGTACACCAGGGTTTCATCGCAAGAACTGGGGGCTTTGCTCCCACTGATGTCCTTACCCAGCTTCCTCCTCTCCTCGGGGTCCTGCAGCAGGACACGGAGCGACGGTCCCTCTGGCATGGTGACGTGGAACTGGACAAAAGCCTTCTCGTGCTCCGGCAGTTCAGCATCGGTTGCTGCTGTGGGAAACAAACGGGTGGGGGTGGGCTTAGAGAGAAGTCAGGACACCGCTTGGCCACGCAGACCCTCTGTGGCAGTGGGGGCAAGGGTATCAGGAAGCCACATCCAGGTTCATGTGGCCCCCAATAACTTCAGCAGCAGCTTTCTTCTGCCCCAACCACAGCCTGCAACAACCAGGACATCACTGATGGGAAAGGGATGAGTTGTCATATTTAAGGCTCCACCAGGCTTTGAAGCTAAGTGCAGAATTTGTCCCACGCACAGCACAAGCACCTGGCTCTTTTGTTTCCTTCCCTCTGGTCTGAAAACAGAACTGGAAATTGAGAGCCTCAGGGTTTTTTCACACTTGGAAGTTAGTGACCTGAAGCCAAGCCAGGCAAGAACCAAAGGCATGCTGGGATGTTTTAGAAGGGGGGTGGTTGGTAGGTCGAGAGAGGCCCTCCTGCCCCTCTGCTCTGCCCTGGTGAGGTCACATCTGGAATCTTGTGTCCAGTTCTGGGCCCCTCAGCTCCAGAGAGACAGGGAACTGCTGGAGAGAGTCCAGCGCAGCCACAGAGATGATGAAGGGATGGAACATCTCCCTGGTGAGGAAAGGCTGAAGGAGCTGGGGCTCTGCAGCTGGAGAAGAGGAGGCTGAGGGGTGACCTCATAAATGTTTATAAATACGTCAAGGGGGAGTGTCAGGAGGATGGAGCCAGGCTCTTTTCAGGGATGTCCAGTGACAGGACAAGGGGCAACGGTGCAAGCTGGAGCACAGGAGGTTCCATAGAAACAGTAGGAAAAATGTTTTCACTGTGCGGGTGCCGGAGCCCTGGCACAGGCTGCCCAGAGAGGGTGCGGAGTCTCCTTCTCTGGAGACATTCAAAACCCACCTGGACACGTTCCTCTGTGACCTATTCTAGGTGATCCTGCTCTGACAGGGGGGTTGGACTAGATGATCTTTTGAGGTCCCTTCCAACCCTGAACATTCTGTGATTCTGTGTAAAGCACAAGAGCAGGGCAGATTAAAGTGTAATTTGGAAGCTGAGCCCTCCTTGCTCTGCTTGGGACCTGTGACACGGGCCCAGGGCTTGCAGTGCAACCAAAAGGGCCCTTCAGAAGAGAATCTCATCTTGCACGGTCTCTCCAAGCATCACACTGGGCTCTGTATGTGTGATTTTCACTCCCTTATTTCCAAGTCAAAGCTGTTCCTAATTCCCTTTGGCTCACAGGGAGCTCAGGGTTGCAGGGCAGCCTCCTTCCCTGGGCACAGAGTGCGATAAGAAGCAACGCAGAGGGTTCCAAGGAAGCTTTGTGGATTTGCTGGTCCAAATGGAACATCCCAAAGCCTGAGGAGCACCCTAGCATCAGCATCCAGCACGCTGGGAACCGGCAGTTCCAAGGTTGGCTCTCTCAGTGCCAGCATCCCCAGGGGACTAAACTGCAGTGTAAAGAGTTCATTGCCAGCTGGTTATGAGAGCAAAAATATTATTATTCTGAACAACGAGGTCAGGGAAAGGCAGCGAGAAGACGTGTGAGATTTTGACAGCATGCACTGGATGCAGGAAAAAAATAAAATAATTAAAAGAAAAATCCTCAAACACCCAAATTAGGCATCTCCTGCAGATTTGCATTTCCCTCAGCACCTAATGTCCCCTAGGATGGGCAAAAAGCCTCGGAATTTTCGGAGAAAAGCTTGCCCTGTCCCTTGTAACCCCCACACAAACCCAGCTCCATCACCATCCTCTGCTGTTCCTGTCCCAGCAGCTCTCCTTGCTCAATCCTGCTTCTGCAACAACACCCACGCAGCACAAGCCTGGCGGAAAGCTTTTTGTGCCGTGGGGGAGGACGCTGGGACAGTCTGGCAGCTTGTCACCGGCATAGCACCACTTTCGGCAAGAAACCACCCAGCCTGTCCTCGATCATCCCATCAAGTGCCGGGCCGGTACCAGAGGTCACGGTGCCCGCCTCCAGATCCTCTGCCTGACCCAAAAAAGTGCTCACGTGGGTGTTGGTGACGATGCAGATGAAGATCGTGGGGTCTCATCTTCCATCCATGCTCCAGATGGCTTCATAGAGCCACATCAGCTCAGCCAGGTGCACCCTGCTATCAGCACCCACCACCCTGGGGTGCCCGGGGCAGCCGGCCACAAGGCTGACAATTAAATTCAAGGTTTGTCCACGGATATCCTGGTTTTTTGTTTGTTTCATTTTTATTTTTTGAAGCCTCCAGTCAGTCTGCCACAAGGACAGGGTGCTTCAGAGGATGTCTGGCCAAGGTGATCAGCACATGTGTGATCAAGCAGGCAGGTGACCCCCTCATTTACACACCCCAGCCCCAAAGGGGACAGCAAGTGACACCCCTAGAGCACCTTTTTGCCTGCCTTCTTGGAAGGACCTTGCAAACCAGAAATATGGGGGGAAATCTGCCCTGTGCGTGAACATTTGAGTCAATAAACAAGACGAACAGCTCAAAGCACCCCAAAACCATTGGGTTTTTTACCCATCTACGCTGTGGAGTAGCTTCTTATCCATTGATCATGGTCGAGCAGGGAGCTGCCTCCGAGTTATAACACTCACCGGGGCAGTCGCAGAGAGCAATGGCAGCGAAGTAGTGGGAGAGGGCTTTGAAATGCTCCGACTTGACGTGGACCATGGTGGTCCAAGAGAAGGGAACGTAATCCTTCACGTGCGCCTGGGTCATCGTCTGGTGCACCAGCGAGTAGACGTCTTCCACCTGTGGGACGTCAAGAGACAAACTGCTAAGCCATGGGTTGAGATCATAGCATCACAGAACGTGTTGGGCTGGAAAGAATCTTTAAAAAGTCACCTAGTCTGACCCCCCTGCAGTGAGCAGGGACATCTCTCACTAGATCAGGTTGCTCAGAGCCCCATCAAGCCTGACCTTGAAGATTTCACAGAATCACAGAATGTCAGGGGTTGGAAGGGACCTCTGAAGATCATCTAGTCCAACCTTCATCCCAGCACACCCAACCACTACACCACAGCCTCAAGTGCCAGATCTACTTTTTTTTTAAACACCTCCAGGGTTGGGGACTCCACCACCTCCCTGGGCAGCCTGTTCCAGTGCCTCACCACTCGTTCAGTAAAGAACTTCCTCCGAATATCCAATCGAAACTTACCCTGACACAACTTGAGGCCATTTCCCCTTGTCCTACCATTAGTAATTAGAGAGAAGAGACCAGCACCAGCCTCACTACAGCCTCCTTTTAGGTAGTTGTAGAGGGCAATAAGGTCTCCTCTCAGCCTCCTCTTCTCCAGACTAAACAAACCCAGCTCCCTCAGCCACTCTTCATAGGGCAGGTTTTCCAGACCTCTCACAAGCCTTGTTGCCCTTCTCTGCCTCCACCACCTCTCTGGGCAACGTGTTCCAGTGTTTCACCAGATGGAGGACATCCATCAGGGGACAGTGACAGCCCCACCGAGTCCTCTCCTCCCCGAGGTGCTCACCCTTGCCGCCTCCTGGGCGAGCTGCAGCCGGGCGAGGAAGTCGTGCTGGGCGCACATCAAGGTCATCTTCTCAAAGACACATTCCTGGACCTGGGCGACCATCAGCCGCACCAGCATGTTCAGGGAGGCAGCGCTCATATCCAGGCTTGGAGCATTGGAGAAGTTTTCTTTCAAGTAGTTAAAGGCACCTGCACAAGGGAGAAACTCTTGTTAGCCACCGGGATCTTAAGGAGGAAGATTTGGGACCACAAAGGTTTCCCTACCTGCAGTGTAAGAGGAGGGGCTGCCAGGTCAGCTCACACATCAAACATCTCACCATAACTGGTGGGTAAAAAGGTCAGGAGTCCCTCCCTTGCTAAACCATCTCCGTGCCCATAGCTTTCTTCTCCAAAGACCTGGGTGACCCCAGTCCCAGGGTGCCTCTTTATTCCCCAACTGCTCACAGACAAATCAGTCTCTCCCCCCACCCACCCACCTGCTGGGGCATCTCTACTGCCGTGGAGCAAGAGCAAGCCCTTTGGGTGGCTCTTGGGTCACCCCAGCACCTCTCCACAACCCACAGAAGCAGCGCGGTGCCTGGTTCATGCTCACTTGGAGATGCCCCATGTCCATCCTTCTTTGCACGATTGCTCCCTCCCCTTCTTCCGCTCATGAAGATTACTCCCACCCTGTGGAAACTCTCCCTGCACGCCCACAGAGAGGCAGGGAAGTGGGGAACCCACGTACCGGCCGCCTTCTGGAAGGCATCGATGGCCTGGTTGACTCCTGGCAGGGACGCGCGGTCCTGCCGCGCTCCGATCTGGGTGTGCAGGGCTCCGATGTTGAAGAGCACGCTGCCCTTCTCGAAGGCCAATGCCCGTTGGTGAGATGGGACCCCCGTCAGGGAGTCGTACCTGGGGAAGCAAAAAGTCATGTTCATCCTGAAGTTCTCACTCACGGATGCAAAGAAGAGCCTGGAGGGTTTTCAGCACTCCGAGTGGGCTCGCAGCCACCATTCCCATCACATCTTAGCCCTGTGGGGTGTCTGTTTTGCCCTGTCTCTCTTAATTAATCCACCCAGGACAACAGCAAACCCAGCTCCACGTGTCCACCAGCCCCGAGGCCGCGATCCTCTCATGGAGGCTTGGTTCCAGGCTCCCTCCCGACTTGTGATGCCCCAGGGTGTGATGAAGAAAAGCTGCACCAACCAGTGGAAGAAGACGCCCAGGCTTTTGGTGGGAGGGAAGAAACGGCTGTCGAGGAAGTAGAGTTGGTTGTAATACTCCATCAAGAGCTCGAGCCCGGCTTCGTTGCGGCTCGGGGTGCGCATCGCCTGTGGGGAAAAAAGAGGAGACGTGTAGGTGGGAAGAATAAAAAAAAACTCGAGATTTTGACTGGATACAGAAGACAGGAGGGTCAGAGCTCTCCTAACTCCTAGTTTTAACCATGAGGCTTTGTGGGGCTCCTCTCTCCTGGTCTGAAGAGCAGGATCAGGTCCTTCACAAGGGCCTGAGTTATCCTCTTCTGCATCAAAGCTTCACAGTAAGGCAAAACCTGAAGTTACTTACGAGACTTATTTCATAAGAGAGGAGAAAATTCACCTTTACTACATTGCTTTGTCTTTTCTCCAAGTGGTCAGGGGTGAAGTAATATTCAGAAAACTAGTAATGGATCACATTGTAACTTCTATTGCTGTCCAGGTCTAGGTTAGCAAGGCGTTATAAGACAGGGAGAGACAACAATTACTGAATGGTCTGTAATATTTTGTAACCTAAGAACCAAAGCCGAGGTGCTCTAGCAGAGGAATCTCACATCCCAAGACACAAGGATAAGGGTGCAGTTTGGAAAAAGGATGAGGGGACACCCAGAGCAAAATGTGGCATCTCCAGTGAACACTGATGGACAAGCCAAAGCAAGACTTTGCAGCTCAAGGGATACCAACCTGCCGTAGCTCCATGAACTCCTTGATTTCTTTTTCAAACAAGACGCCCTCCTCCCCATAGTGTTCACTGATGAGATCCTGGAATGGGGAAACAAGAGTAAAGAAAACCCTTCAGAACAGATTTTCATGATTTAAAGGATGGCTTTGGGTGATTCTGTCTAAGCAACTTGCCAGCTCTCCCCAGAAAGAAACGTGCACTAGGGAAAACCATCTCCCCCTCTGCCCAACTCTTGCTCTTCAGCATCTCCAGACCCTCATCTCCCACTTTTCCATGTTTTAAATCCAGCTCCTCCCCATAGATTTATTTTTTTGCAGCTGTTCCAAAAGAGAAAATGTTTTGCAGCTGCTGCAGCATCTCCTCTGCACCACCCAACCATACCCATGTGCTGAAACAACCCCCAAAGTGCACGGTCACTTCCCTTCATCATCTCGCCTCACATTGAGTGTGCAAAACCCCGATGCTCACCTTCAGTGGTACCAGCAAATCCAGCTCCTTTGTCTCCTTCAGGCCCAAAGGGATCATGGGGACGCTGATGGACTCACTGGAAGAAGACAACAACCTATTTGGTGGTTGGTTTCAAAGCTTTGGAGAGACCCTGCATGTCAGGGAATAAAATGAAACAGCTCTTTGCTCTGGGCTTCTGCTGCTCTTGTTAAAGGGTAAAACTAGAGGAGGACTTGATTCTGCACAGCAGAAGGATGTTCTTCCCAATGTGAAGTTGGGAACAGCAGTGTGAGAAGAGAGGTGCACAAAAAATAACCTGAAACCACCACCCTTATTCTTCCAGTTTCTGTTTTTCTCTGCATAACAAGAAGCACAGCAACCAAATAGGCTCCAGTGATGAAGCTGCTTCAACTACCAGCCCTTGGGATCCGGGAGAGATGCAGGCACAGGCCATGGATTCATTCACTCCTGGGTGCTCGTCTGGGCTCTGTTGCTGACAAGGACTAGATGAGGCTGGAGAGCTGGGTAAAGGGGAACCTCATGAAGTTCAATAAGGACAAGTGCAGAGTCCTGCATCTGGGGAGGAACAACACCAGGTACCAGCACAGATTAGGGGACGTCCTGCTGGAAAGCAGCCCCGTGGAGACAGACCTTGGGGTCCCCGTGGGCAGTGAGTGTCCCTGGGACAGCCCCGTGCCCTTGTGGCCAAGAGGCCAGTGGGATCCTGGGGGGCACCAAGAAAAGTGTGTCCAGCAGGGCTGGGGAGGTTCTCCTGCCCCTCTGCTCTGCCCTGGTGA